CCTGATTATTTCATGAGGCCAGTATAAACTTGATATGAGGAAAGATATTAGCTATCTCTCCTGAAAATCAATTAAAAACTACAAAAGAAGGGCACCTGGGTGGCTCAGTGGGTTAAAGTCTCTGCCTTCAGCTCAGGTCATGATTCCAGGGTCCTGGGATCGAGCCCCACATCACGCTCTCTGCTCAGCAGGGAGCCTGCTCCACCCTAGCCCCCCGCCTGCCTCTCTGCCTACTTGTGATCTCTGTCTGGCAAATAAATAAAATCTTAAAAAAAAAATACTAAAAGAAGGATTAGCAAATGTAAGTCAGGGACATCTAAAAAGGATAATTCATCATTATCAAGATGGCTTTAGTCTAGAAATACAATGTAATGTCATCAATGAAGAGAAAAATTGATCATCTTAGTAAATGCAGAAAAAGCATTTAATACAATCCAACATCAGTCTATGATGTAAAATTCTTAGCAGACCTAGAATAGAATTTTCTTAATCCAATAAAGTGAAATATTTAAGGTTTTCTGCTTGTGGTTAGGAATGATACAAAGATACTACTCATTACTTTTACATAGTGACATACTGAAGATCCTAACCAAGGCTGTAAGAGAAAGCAATAAAATATAGAAGGACTAGAAATGTAGAAATATTATGGACATTGGGGAAGGTATGTGCTATGGTGAGTGCTGTGAAGTGTGTAAATCTGGCAATTCACAGACCTGTACCCCTGGGACTAATAATACATTATATGTTTATAAAAAAATTTTTTAAATTTAAAAAAAAGAAATGAAGAAATAAAAATTACTTAGAAATAACATGATTATGTATATAGGAAATCCAAAACAATCTCCAAACTATTAGAATTAATAACAGAACTTTGAAACTTTGGTAAAATTCCGTATATAATAATCAATTGTATTTTTATTATACAAGCAGCAAAAAAAACACTTCAAAATTACCACTTAAATATCAAAAAGCACTAAATGTGTAGGAATCATTCACATTAGAGTTATGTAATAGCTCTTCGCAGGAACTGTAACATTGTTAAGAGAAGTTAAAGAAGACCTGAGTAAATGAAGAGAGCTACCATATTCATGGATTAGAGAATCGTTCTTATAAAGGTTTCCATTCTTGCTAATTTTAGGTATAGATTTTATGTAGTCTCAGAGCTTTTTCTTCGATGGAAACTCTCTAGCCCATTACTAAATTTATATGGAAGTATCTTGAACCAAGAATAGTCTATACCAAATTGAAGAAGAACAGAAATGGAGGACTATCAGACTTATTCTAAAGCTACAACAGTTTACACTGGTGATTTGATGTAATGAAGGTAGACAAATGGTACAGAATTGAAGGTCCAGGGAAAACACGTAAATAGAAACTTCATTAACTGCAAAGGTAGGCTTTGAGAGCAAAGAGGTAAAGATTTTAATTTCCTTGTTTGTTTTTTCAAGTACGTTTTGGGCCAGTTGGGTATTTATATAGAATATCACTAATCTTGGCTCCTATCTCATGCAGAAAGTAGTTCCAGGTGGATTATATTTCTGAACGTAAAAGACAAATGAATAGAGTTTCTGGAGGATAAATTCTTGAATGAAGGACATCTTCATAAATGTGGGATAGGAAAATTTTTAAATAAGATACTAAAAGTGCTAACCATAGGTTGATAAAATTGACTGTATGTAAGTTAGGAACTTATTTTCCTTACAAGAATTCTTAAGTGTGGGAGAACGTACTTGCAGTATATATAATTATCAAAGTGATTACATCCAAATATGTAAACAACTTTTACAAGTATGTAAAAGATGAAAATAACCAGTGAGAAAAATGGGCAAAAAAAAAAAATGAACATGCACTCACAAAAGAAGCTCTCAAATAGATAATTAACATGCAAGAAGGGATAACTTCTTAGTCATCACAGAAATGTAAATTAAAGCCACAGTGATCATTCCAAAGAATAGCTTAAAAAGATGATAATTCTGAATTTTGGTGAGGTTGTGGAACACCCACAACTCACGTATTGCTGCTGGGGTGTGAATTGGTACAATGACTTTGGAAAATTGGCAGAATCTGCAAACACTAAGCATACAAATACCCAATGATTCAGCATTTCTGTTCTTACCCAGCAGAAATGCATATGCATGTATGTTCACTAAAAGCTGTGCACCAGAATGTTCATGAAAGTGTTATTTAAAATACCTAAAAGATGGAAATAACTCAAATGTACACCAGTTGGATATTAGTTAGGTGGATAAACTAAGTTAAATTTCTATTCAACAGCAGTGAAAACGAGTCAAGTACTGCTACATGCAATAGCATGGATGAATTTTACAAATAAGATATTGTCTAGAAGGAGGCAGACAGAAAATAATAACTTACTTTAGGGTTCCATTTATGTAAAAATCAGAAATTGGCAAAATTAATCAATGGTTTTAGAAATTATGATAGTGATAATATGTGGAGAGATGCAGTTAGGCAAGCCACAATAGATTCAGAGTTGCTGATAATATTTGGTTTCATAGCCTAGGTGGTAGTTACTCAGAGACGTTCACTTAGTAATAATTCTTAAAGTTGTATTTACATAATTTGCCCACTCCTCTGTATGTTAAAGAATTTTATTTCAGATAATATTTTGTAGTTTTCCAATTCACAAATGATATGTTTATACTAAGCTAATGAATGTGAGTAACTGGCATTAACTGAAAAAGTGGTTATATAAATTAGAAAGCTGAAAATTACAACTAGAGTTATTATAAGTATTATAAATTATAATTATTTCAAATATTGCCATATTAGATGCTTCTTTAAGAATGAGCTAGGGGCACCTGGATGGCTCAGTTGGTTAAGCAGCCCACTCCTGCTTTCAACTCCAGTCAGGCTCTGTGCTCTGCACTCAGCTGGGAGTCTGCTTGTCCCTCACCCTCCCCTGTGAGCTAGCTAGCTCGCTCTCTCTCTCTCTCTCAAATAAATCTTTAAATCATTCCCCTCCCTTGTTTAAAAAAGAAAAAAAGGAAGGAGTTATATATGTTTCTGTATTGAAAAGTTTTGGGGAGTTAATAATTTTTGGAGCAGGAAATGATGAAGACTAGTCCATGTTAGGGTGCCTGGGTGGCTCAGTTGGTTAAGCAACTCAAATTAATAAAATCTTAAAAAAAAAAAAAAAAAAAAAAAGACTGGTCCATGTTAGCCAGATCTTTCAAGTGAAATACGACTTTGAAAGTCTTTCAGTTAGGGGCTCCTAGGTGGCTTAGTGGGTTAAAGCTTCAGGTCATGATCCCAGGGTACTGGGATCGAGCCCCGCAGTGTCCTGGGATCGAGCCCTACAGGGTCCTGGGATCAAGCCCGGCATCGGGCTCTCTGCTCAGCAGGGAGCCTGCTTCCTCCTCTCTCTCTGCCTGCCTCTCTGCTTACTTGTGGTCTCCGTCTGTCAAATAAATAAATAAAATAAAATAAGTCTTTACTAAAAAGTAAAAAAGTATTCTTGCTCTGGGGAGGAAGGAAAAAATGGAACTAACAAAAACCAAAGCATAGTACTACACTCCATGTTTTCAGTTGACTAATTCTATGTTAAATAGCTTATTTTCTCCCATTTTCTTTGATAGTTCACTGATGGAGAATTGATAGTATATACTAGAATTAAATTCTGTTATAACCATATTAAATTAAGCTTTTTTCATTAAAGCATTTGAAATGATGTTCATTTGCTTCTTTTTCTTATTTAATTAAAAATCTAAAATGGGTGTTGTAGCCACTAACCTTGTCTGCTTTTCTCTATAAGCTGATTCTACTTTGCCTCTAGGTGTGCGTGTGTGTTACTGCACCATGTTATGTTACTATCACCAATATGTTTCAGAAGTAACTTTTTGTCTTCTTTATCAACTTAACTGTTAAGAAATTAAGTTAATGAAATAATTTAACTTTTAAACTAAATGCTTCTAAACATAATCGCTGAATCATTAAGTGAAAGCAGACTTTCACCTGTTTGGGCCTGGAGATACATGTTGAGGTACTAGATTCTGCCTTGATAATTCATTTACTTAGTGACAGAGTCAACAACATGTTTATATTACTATGGACTCAGTCTACCCCCAAGTGTTTTTACTACCTGCCTTACCGCCTACCTCTCTCTACTATAGTCACTCTGTTCCAGCCACAGTCAGGGCCTTCTTGGTGTTTGATTAGCTGCCAACCATATTTTTACCTCAGTGCTTTTGTTGATACCTGTCCAGATCTGTTTTTCCTCATATCCTCCTCAGGCTCCCTCACTCATTCTATTCAGGTCCGTGTTTGAAAAAATCACCTCAGAGATGCATTCTCTGAGTCTTCTCCATGTTTTACCCATCATTTTCTATTCTTATTCCCTGATTGATTTTTTTTATAGCAGTTATCACTACCTGATAGTCTGTTACATATATATTTTTAATATATTTCTGAGTAAATATAAGTTCCATGAGGGTAGGGACTTAAATGGTTTTGCTTACTACTATATTTCCAGGACCTGGAACCAAGGCAGATAAACAGTAAGCCCTGTATAAATATTTGTGGTTAGAATGAATGAATGAAAGAAAGAAAGAAAGAAATATAATGAATAGTGTCAGTCTGCACAGTTCAGCCCTCAGTTAATTCCATGGAATTCATTTATTTATTCTCCAAACAGATGTAGGGTTGTTGTTAATTCCAGCATGGCTCTCTTTATAGGCATTGGTGGTAAATTTTAAATAAGCTCTAATAATATAACCAATTTCTGATCTTGTTATTATCCTTTAAAGGAGGAGAAAAAGGGAAGGGGGGGGAATAATATACATAGTATTTAATTTTGTCTTTTATGAAATAAATGACTAAAAATAATATTTGTCCCAAATGCACTCTCTTTGTTCTTGTCTCTGATAATTTAAAAAATATGGTAGTAGCTGCTTATGTACTGTTTAAAATTGTAGATTTATATTGATTTTGTTTGTCTTCCTATTTATATCTATTCCTACCCTGCTAACCCCACCTTTTTAAAGAATCCAACCCAAGTCGGAACAGCTCTTCAGGTTTTCCATAATCTTGGAACTTTGAAGGATACTATTACCAGTGTTGTGGATGGATATCGTGCTACTTTAGAAGAACATATCAACAGTGCGTTAGACATCAAAGTTCTGACTCAGCCTTCGCAGTCAGCTGTGAGAGGTATGGCTATGGTTTATATTTAGCTGCTTTGTTTATTTATAAACCAAGAAGTCCTTTGAATAGTATGTGAAACACTTAAGTTTCAAAGCAGTCTAATGACTCATTTTTTAGTAGACAGAAAATGAGAGAAGAAATTATGTTTCAGAATGTATTTATAACTTTTTTTTGTCTAATCAGTGAGTTGAATTGGCCAATTGGTATATTCAGAACTTCTAGAAAAAAAATCTATAAACTGTGGCTCCACTTAGTTCAGAGGAAACAGATGCAAGAAAAAAAAGAGAACATTTTTCTTTCTGAAATCCTTATCCTCACAAGTACTCCTTGAGACAGAAAATATTTTTTAAGGAAATGCAGTTTCTCCCTTAGCTTTTTGGGCTTTTCCTTGGAATAATTCTGGTATTCAGGGGCAAAGAAGGCTAATTGTGAACTTAGAAACTGATGAAACCTTTGGGAACATTAAAACCACACAAAATCTAAAAAAACAAAACAAAACAAAACCAAAAACTACAAAAGAAAGGTATGAGAGAGGAATAACCCAACAATAGCACTCTGCAACCTTTTTCCTGCCAAGATATAGCTGTTGTTGGCATTCATGTAGAAAACACCCTTCAGAGATGAGATGGGAAAGTCTTGTTATGTGTGCCTCTCATCTAACCAACATATCTCTGCATGTCTCTCCTTGTATTCTCTCTTCTCTCCTCTTAATATGGGTGAGCTGTGCTTGCTCCTAGCAAAGACCAAGTACTGTGCTCCTATGTTAGATCCCATGTCCCAAGGGCATTGCTTTAGCAGATCCCCTCTGTCTGCCATCTAGTTAGTTTTCCTTCTTTAAGTCTCTTTCCTGTTATGTACAATTGTGCTAGTGTACCTTCTGCTGAAAGACAGATCTGTGTTTGTCTATGTTTCCTTCTTCAGCTCTGCTCCCCCATTTCATTTCTTCAGACTACAGAAAAATTCCCCAAAGTTGTTGTGTTTATTTATTGTCTCCACAGTTTTTCTCTTTCTATTTTTCTTTTAGATTTTTACGTATTTATTTTAGAGAGAGAGAGCGGGGGCAGGGGCAAAGGAGCAGAGGGAGAGAGACAAGCAGACTCTGTGCTGAACACAGAGCCTGATACAGGGATTGATCCCATGACCCTGAGATCATGACCTGAGCTGAAACCAAGAGTTGGAAGCTCAACCGATTGAACCACCAGGCACCCCTCTTCCCATTTTTATATTGAAGAAGCTTCTCTGTCTAAAGAGTTGTCCTAAAAAATAAATAATGCATATAGAATTAATAACAGAGTTCCTCATGCATGGCTTATACTGAACAAATTTACAGTGAGTGATTATTATTTTTATATTTGCTATATAAACATAGCCTTAAATAACACAAAATATATGTCACTCATAAATAAGTTGCGCTAGATAAGAAGAGATAAAAGAATCTTAGATCTTACAGGGATTTTTAAAGGTTAGCCCTAGCCTCTGAATAGGTCTGTTTTAAGACTGTCCCAGAAGGGGAGCTTTGAAAAGAAATTGCCAAAGGAGATTTCACTCTCAGCTTTTCCCAGCAATTATTCTCAGAAAGTTTGATCTAATGTTTAAATTTCCAGGAGCAGTTTAATCTCATTCCCTCTTGTGTTGTCAAGAAAGGGGGAAAAAAAATGAAAGCAATTATTCACATGCTGTCAATCCTAATGTACACCCTTTTTGTTGAAAGAATAAAGAGTTTTAAAGCCTTATTATCATCTGTTGAGGAGTGGATACTGTGATTTATTGTAGAAACCTTTAAGCATTAATTATTCATTATTTTTTAAGAGAATAATCACTATTATTTTTAGTTTTTTAAATTTGCTGTTGGCAGTATTCATGTTAATTTGCTGATCTTGTTGGTTATATTGAGATTATGGAGTAAAATGTCCTTGTTTTTTGGAAATACACATTAAAGTATTAAGGGTGATGGGGCATCATGTCAGTAACTTACTAACAAATGATTCTAGGACATTTTTTTTTTTTAGTATGCTTTCAGATCCGTATGTTTGAGATTGTTCCAGAAATATTAAAATATATAAAGTTGATAAAATCTTAAGGGGAAAATATTACCCATGATGTAATTTTCAAAAGCTTGTAATTCAGTAAGAAAAAGATATAAATAAGTCTGTTGAAAAAATAAGAATATGCTTGGGCAATTAACAGAAGAACACATCTAATAAATGGGAGAATATGGTCAGCTTCTCTTTAGAGGATGAACTAACTAGTTATTAGGGAAATATAGATAAAACAAGATAACAATTTCTCAATGAGGAGATTGGCAAAATCTAAGAGTTAAATGTTGGACAAGAGCAGAAACTCTAGTATACTGATTGTAGGAGAATGAAATTGTTCAGCCACTTCACTCAGTTTTATCAAATTGTTCTCTAAGGTTAAAACTGTGTACCTTGTGATCTTATAATTTCTCTTAGAAAAAAAAATTCTCTTGGAATTTTTGTTGTGTTATTATTGGTAGTAGTGATAAAGTGAAAACAGTCTTTCCTCCAGTGGAAATAAAGTGCTATCGTTGGGTCTCTGTTTTTCAGTGAGCCTGTGCCTTTGTACCTTGAACTTCACAAGTATACTAATTATTTTTTACTCCTCCCTCATGTGGGAGAGAATGACCAGAGTGGGCTGGAGTTGGGTATTTCCCTTCCCCAGGTCATTTAGGTTCTGATAATACCCCAGAGGGTCAGGCTCTAGTTAACTAGTCTTCCCTCAGGGCAGGCCTTGTTAAAAGAATAGAGTTTCCTGGGCACCTGGGTGGCTCAGTGGGTTAAGCTGCTGCCTTCAGCTCAGGTCATGATCTCAGGGTCCTGGGATCGAGTCCCGCATCGGGCTCTCTGCTCAGCAGGGAGCCTGCTTCCCTCTTTCTCTCTCTCTGCCTGCCTCTCCGTCTACTTGTGATCTCTCTCTGTCAAATAAATAAATAAAATCTTTAAAAAAAAAAAAGAATAGAGTTTCCTGGTGTATTTCAAGATGGTTCTTTTTTTGATTCCTCCCGCTGGAGGCATGAGGGGATTTTTCTCTGATATTTACTGTGGGAACTTGGGCTCCTGGATGCAAATATAAAAATATTGTGGGCCCCCTCTGGGTACGCCTGGAGCTTTTAATGCTCAGAGTTGCCCACTTTGAGCCTCTAGCAATTCATGGGTTACAGTTCAGGTTTTCCTTCCCTCGCACTGGCTCCCAGCATCTGTTTTCTGCTAGCAAGGCTCTGCTCCCCTAGGTGGAGACCCTGTATTCGCCAGTCAATCTCTCTTATCTTGGGGGTAGTGATTTGCCATGTGTCCTCTCCTCTCTTACAGGTCCAAGAAGAGTTGTTGATTTCTCAGTCTGTTTGTCATCTTACTTATTGTTAGGACAGAGTGGCAACTTAGAGGCTCCTCACAGTTAGAACCAGAAATGGGAGTTGCTAACTCGGATTTTTACTGCCATACCTCACTTGTTTCTTCTTTGACGTTGTTAAAAGTAAGACAGCTGACCCTAAATGGAGTCACTTATGCTAAAACCCACATCACCAAACTGAGACATAACTTAATTACAGTTTCAGCCTTTCTCAGAAATGGAATTTTAAACCAGTCAATCATGAATCACTTTGTTAGTACTAGTACCAGTGAGGTCATTCTGCCCTACTGCCCTTAAAAAGAAAGTGACCTTGCCATAACCAATTTGGTTGTTTTTCTTGTTGTTTTTGTTTTTCTAGTATAACTTCTCTGTTCCTGCTCCTTTCTGCCTAAAAAGATCTCTCATTTCATACAGCTCCTGAAATCTCCTTTCTATCTGCTACATTTGTTGCTGCCTGATTCATGACTCATTGAATAAAAGGCAGTAAGATCTTTAAAATTTACTCACTTGAATTTTATTTTTTTTAAGAATGTCCATATGGATCTTTCCGTAATTTCTTTAGGATATGTCTTGGCATTGAATGCTCTATATCATCTTTTTTTTTTTTTTTCTGAGTTAGAATACGTTCTCTTTTATAGGTTTACTTTAATTGTATATTTGAATATTTTTATTTTCCATTTGTTCTTTTCAGGAACTTTAATTATATGCATGTAACAACTTATTTGTTTTCCATTTCTAACATATTTTCTGTAATTATTATATTTTAATTCTTTGAACTTTCATTTTCTATAATTTCTTCTTGATCATTATATTGTTCTGTTATTTGTAATGTGTTCTTAATCTCTGTTATGTATTTACACTAAGAATATTCCTTGGGGCGCCTGGGTGGGTTAAGCCGCTGCCTTTGGCTCAGGTCATGATCTCATGGTCCTGGGATCGAGTCCCGCATCGGGCTCTCTGCTCAGCCAAGAGCCTGCTTCTCTCTCTCTCTCTCTGTCTGCCTCTCTGCCTACTTGTGATCTCTGTCAAATAAATAAATAAAATATTTAAAAAAAGAAAAAAGAATATTCCTTATAGTTACTTTGAGACTGTGGAAAACTAAGTAACTCTTAGTTTTCTAAGAGTTACTCTTTCTATTGTTTCCTTTGGGAATTTCTTTGGCAACTTAAGTTCTTTCCTTCCCCGCCCCCCCTTCCTTCCCTCTCAATCTGTGTTAGGTCCTATATTATTTGTTTCTGATTGTTACTTATCTTTCAAAGGTACTGCTGGTTGCTGAAGAATAATATAGAGATGGTTATAGGGAGAGACTAGGACAGTCTATAACTAGGATTAAGTTTGATATCTAGAGTAACCATTCACCAACTTCCTCTCTTCCATCTTGGAAACACATCTTTCCTCAAATTTTCGGTCATTCTGAGCTTAGTGTGGGTCCCTGTGAGGCCATTTAAGCAATTTTTGTGTGGAAACCTCACATTCTCTGCTTTTCTTTCCTCTTTCACCTCATTTTTACCTCTAAGAGTCTCCTAAAACTAGAGGACTATTTATTATACAGTGTAAATATAATTTTATTATTTCTCCTTTAGCTTTTCTTTGTTGTTATTCTGTAACATTAAACATTTTATTAGCTTCTTCCCTGACTCACCCATGTCTCCCCATTTTAGCTCTAAGCAAAGAATCATTGGATAGCCTGTTTAAATTTTTACAATTGATTTTAAGGACAATTTGGTTTTTGCTAATAGTCTAAGATGACAGCTGTCTGGTTCCTTCATTTTGATTTATCCTCAGCATTTGGCATACATAATCTTAAGTTTGTTGTTTTAGTTGATTTCCTTGTTTTTTGTTTTGAAGTTCATTTTTTCCTCTACTTTTTGTTCTATTTTCATTGACTGTTAAGGGAGGACTGTAGAAAAATGATTTTACTCTACTATCAGTAACTACAAATCACTCTTAAGTATTATTTTTTGAGAAACTCTTGGTTTCCTCTATCAATTTAATAAAACTTAGTTTATGACACTATTTTGTTTCTTGATTCCCTTGAAGCTAGCCGATAATGGCATCAGTTTTTCTGTTTTAATTATTCTTTCTCCTCTTCCTTTATATAGCTATTCTATATTCAGTTGATTATTTTTATCATGTTGATCTCTTCAACAAGATGTATTTAGCTTGTGAGGATAAAAATCTTTAAGTACCAAATAAGTAAGAAAAATGAAACCTCTAGAGCTAGATGAACCAATGATTGTGGTCTCATTTTTCTCTGCTTCAGTTTCTCCAAAATAAATATAAACAGAAAATAGTACTTTCTTATGTATCTACTCATATTTATTTTGAGTGATGGGTTGATGTGTCCCATAATTCTTTATAATAAAGTTGAGCTATGCATATTCCAGGAATTTGATCAATATTTTCAAATTTCACAAAGACACTGTATACCCTTTCTTCATTGTTATTTTACTCTGTATATGACATGTGAGCTAACTGCAGATTGTTAAAGATTACCTCTCTATTCCATGTATGCTTTTCTTTAATAGTCTGCACAACACTGCAGATAATTTTTAAAATTAATTAGGTCTAGCTTTCAAACAGGAATTATTCATATTTTTAAAGTCAGTATTTCTCTCATAGGTGTTTCTCTCTTTTATTGCTTTCCACTGTTATCAGACTAACAGCTAATAGCCACTCTTTGCTGAGGATACATGTAATTCTTTTCTGAACTTAGAATTGTTGAAAATCTATAATGAAGCAGCTTATAAACACAGCCTCTGGTTTTCTGGATTCCTTGCCCCCCTTAAAACAGAATAAATTAATCATTGATGAGCTCTTCTGCATGGCTTTAAAGCTTAATTTGGATTGGAATCGACACTTTTCTTTTTCTTTTCTTTCTTTTTTTTTTTTTTTAAGATTTTATTTATTTTGAGGAGAGAACACAAGTGGGAGGAGGGGCAGAGGCAGAGGGGAGAGAGAATCTCAAGCCAACTCCACACTGAGTGCAGAGCCCAATGCAGGGCTTGATCTCATGACCCTGAGATCATGACCTGAGCCAAAATCAGGAGTTGGATGCTTAACTGACTGAGTCACCCAGGTGCTCCTGGAATTTATACTTTACCACTTAAGACTAAAATTCCTTTTTTCTATATTGAAACATTTTAGACCTGCACAGATAGCTGTTTTTCTGTATTACATTCAAGAACATTCTTAGACATCATTCTTAAGAAATTTAACATTGATATATTAATATTACTTAATGTATAATCCGTATTCCACATTTTCACTTATTCTCCCAAATATTCTTCCCCCCCCCAAAATATTCTTTACAGTGGTTTTTTTTCCCCCCAACTTGAACCAATTAGGATTATGTTTTTCTATGAGTTATCTTGTCTCTTTTCTCTCCTTTAATCAAAATAATCCCAGTACCTTTTATGGCATTAACATGCTTGGAGAGCTCCATAATTTGAATTAATCTGGATTTAGCTGATTGTCTCTTCATGGGTATATTCAGAGTAAACAAACTGGTGAAGTGATATTGTATATTTACCATTAACATTATATCAGTAAGCACCCAAATTATGTCAGTTTGTCTCCTTACTGCTGATGCTAAAGGAAATCACCTCATTACTGTGGTATATGCCAGACTGCTTCTTATAAGAGTACTTTCTTTTCTTTGTGATTAGGAAGTGGTTTGTGGTGCATACCTTAAGACCATGTGAATATCCTGTTTTCCATAACATTTCATCCAGTGTTTTAATATCCACTGGTTATCTTTCCCTCAATTAATTATTTTGCTAGGAGTTGCAAAATGGTGATTATTTTCTATCATTCTCTCTGCATTTATTAACTGACATTCTTCTGTAAAGAGAAATTTCCATCCTTTTTATTTTTTTAAGTTTTTATTTAAATTCCATTTGGTTAACCTACAGTGTAATATTAGTTTCAGATATACAATATAGTGATTCAGTACTTGAATATAATACCCAGTGCTCATCACAAGTTCATCTTTTTTAAACATTTGAATTTCCACTATGACTCATGAATTATTTTTTAATCAGTATTTTATGATCCATTACCATCACTATCATTCAGGATGGTCAAATGTTCCCAAATCTGTTTTGGGGAAGCCCCTTCCAGTCAAGGTCCTATGTACTTTGACCAATCTCCATTTGTCTTTGAACATTTCTTTGCTCTCTGGAACAGTATGTACCAGATATACCTTGTGCTTTCACTGCTCCAAATATGGATGACCCTTTTCCTCAATGAGCCCTGGTTTCTTTTATTGGGGAATGGTGCATGCAAATCAGAATTTGGGTGCTAGGTGTACTCATTTCTATTTAGGAGTCACTGTCTCTTTACCCTTTCAGTGGACAGAGTTGAGAAATTCCTTTGATCCCATTGCATATTTGAATCTTTATTCTGTTTATGGTGAAAATCTTCATTTAGTCTATTGCAAACTACATCTAAAGTAGTCTCAGGATTGCTATGTGAGCAAAAAATTTGCTAAGTACTATTGTTCTTTACAATTCTTTTTGCCCCTAAGATATACCTCACTAAAGTTAGGGTTCTGTAATTAAAAATTACCTCAATTACTTGTTTTCCCCAGTGTGGTTGTGTTATCAATTTGATATACAGTTAGTTTCATTTGTTGTGATATTTATTTGCATTTTTTAGGGTTTGCTTTTTCCATTCTCTTTAAACTTACATTTATTTTAAAATACATAAAACAGGGGTGCTTGGGTGGCTCAGTCGATTAAGCATCTGCCTTTAGCTCAGGTCAGGATCCCAGGTTTCTGGGATCGAGCCCCACATTGGGCTTCCTGCTCAGCTAGGAGCCTGCTTCTCCCTCTGCCTGAGGCTCCACCTGCTTGTGCTGTCTCTCTCTCTCTCTGTCAAATAAATAAATAAAATCTTTTTAAAAAATAAAATACATAAAACATTTATATGGCTCATAAAGACTCACCACTTCTATCTCCATTCCTTTCACCTTGTATGTCTCCTACCACTCCCACTGCCACTTTTAGAAAACTATTTTCATTAATTACTGTTTTTTGTTTTAGCTCTCCTCTGTGTGTATGTGTGTGTGTATGCAGTGTGCCCAAATGTGAGATCTTATTTTCCTTCCTTTCTTAAACATAAAAGGTTTAGAATCCTTTTAATATAAAAGGGTTTTACATATTACTCATAATAAATTCTTAAAGAAGGAACTTACTTCTTTTAGCTTGGGTATGCTTTTTGTAACAAAATATTTTGTTATGTTTGATAATTTTTATTTTTCATATTTGTCACTCATATACAGGGGGACCTGGACGATCTACTATGCCAACCCCAGGAAACACTGCAGCTTTTCGTGCCTCCCTCTGGACCAATATGGAGAAACTTGTGGATCATATTTGTACTGTTTGTGGACAGGTAAATATTTTAGAGAATGAAAAGAACATTAATTATGGAGTAATGCCTTGTTATTCTAAATTGTGTGACCTTGGCCAGCTTTCTTAAAATCTCTAAGCATTCACAGTGCCTGCATTAGCTGATTATAACATATGTAGAGGCTCTAGCACAATGCCCTTTTCCTTCCCTGGCTGCTTCTAGTGTCTAAGCTTTACATTTGTTTCATTTTGAAAATACCCAGTTATGTACATTCTCCCCCTTTCTGCTGTTTTTAGGTACAACATCTACAAAAGATATTAGCCAAGAAGAGAGATCCTGTTTCTCATATTTGTTTCATTGAAGAGATAGTTAAGGTACATTTAAATATTTTTATCTCTTTATTGAAAACTACAGGAAGATATGACCAGCATTGTTTGTGTTCTTACCTTACAGAATGGCTGCATGTCAGATAGCCAAAGGAATTGTATTTCTTTTTTTTCCTTTCTTCTTTTTCTTTTCTTTTTTCTTTTTTCTTTCTTTCTTTTTTTTTTTTTTTTTTTTTTTTGAGAGAGAGAGAGAGTGTGTGTGTGTGTGTGTGTGTTCAGGGTGGGAAAAAGGCAGAGGAAGAGGGAGAGAGAAAATCCCAAGCAGGATCCACATCCAGTGCAGAGCCTGATGTAGGGCTTGGTCTCATGACCCTGAGATCAAGACCTGAGCAGAATCCAAGAGTCAGATGTTTAACTGAGCCATCCAGGCACCCCTGGAATTGTATTTAACAACAAAAAGCTTTCTTTATGACATATGTATAAGCACACTTGTTCTTTGAATAGATGTTACCAGTAATACTTTTTATAGACTTAACTTCTAAAATGCATAAACTAATTTCTGATTTTCCATCATATAAATTATTCATTGTAAATGTTTTTAAAAAGTTCCATTAGAGAAAATTTGGGGTAAATGAGAAATTTAATTAGTGGTCATTATAATATCTTATAAAATCTTTGCTGAAAATGATGGAATCCATTCAGTTGTTAATTTTTCTTACAAAAGCACATTGCTATATCCCATTTTTCATATTCTGAAATTCTTCCTTCTTTCATCTACCGATCTACTGGCCTCATGGGTCTTAAAAATTCCTTCCATGTATAGAAATCCAACTCTACATTGTATTCATTCATCTTGACACTTTTTAATAAGGAATAAAGAGTAATTAATTATTCATCATTTAATCCTGACACATAAGTGTTCCAAAAAAAAAAAAAATTCAGTAAGTTTCCAGTGTTACAGTATAGATCATTTCCTTTGTAAGTCCAAAATTTAAGCATTTTATATGTTGTGTTGTGGATCTCCAAGACCACCCCCAAGTTTGGTAATTTGCTGGGATTCAGAGCATTCAGCATATAGTTGTCCTTGTGGCAATGATTTCTTACAGTGAAAGGATATGAATCAAAACCAGCTTCATGAAAGGAAAGTCAGCAAAAGGGAAAGAGCATATAGGGGCAACCAGGTGCAGGCTTCTAAGAGTCCTCTTCCAGGACTCACAGACAGGACGCCTTTAATTCCTCCACCAACAAGTGTGTAAAATTTCCTCTAGGGAAGTTCACCTTGCACCTAGGAGTTCAGAGTTTTAATCAGGAATCAGTTACTGCCTGGCATGTACCAAAATTTCAGACTCCCAAAAGAAAGCAGTTGTTCAACATACACCACATTATTTGTATAAACAGTTTAGGTATAGTGAGCATTCTTATCAGAGAATCACGAGGATGCTCTCAAAATCCAAGTCCCAGGTACCAGCCAAGAGCCACCCTCGCAAGCAGGTGTTTCTCACTGCAGCAATCTCAGATGTGCTGGGCAAATTCGATTTTGCATTTGTTCTTACAGTAGTATATTATCCATTATATCCATTATCCAGTTCCATTATTCTGCTTCATATTTGCCTTTTAATTGTATGAAAGAAACAATAAGGTGCTTTTGTCAATTGGTATAGTAATTAATTTTTTAAAAGTTTTTTTAAATTCCACTCAGTTAACATACAGTATCATGTTGATTTTAGGTGTAGATTATAGTGATGCAGCGATTCCGCACGTCTCCCAGTGCTCATTGTCAACAAGTGCACTACTTAATCCCCAGCACCTATTTCCCCATCCCCCACCCTCTTCCCCTCTGGTAACCATCAGTTTGTTCTCTGTAGAACTCTGTAGAATTCTGTTTCTTGATTCGTCTCTCTTTTTTTTCCCTTTTGCTCATTTTTGTTTCATAAATACTTTATATAGGTGAAATCATACGATACTTGTCTTTCTCCAGCTTATTTTGTTTAGCATTATATTCTCTAGCAAAAGACAAGATTTCATTCTTTTTTATGGCTGTCGTTTGCACCACACCTTTTTTCCTGGTGTCTTTATCTGGTTTTGAGATCAGGGTAATGCTGGCTTCATAAAATGAATTTGGAAGTTTTCCCTCTTTTTCTATTTTTTGGAATAGTTTGAGAAAAATAAGTATTAACTCTTCTTTACATGTTTGGTAGAATTTGCCTATGAAGCCATCTGTTCCTGGACTTTTGTTTGTTGTGAGCTTTTAAGTTACTGAGGCAATTTCTTAGCAGGTTATCAGTCTGTTCAATTTTTCTATTTCTTTGTGTTTCAGTTTTGGTAGTTTATGTTTCTAGAAATTTATCCATTTCTTCCATGTTGTCCAATATATTGGCATATAGTTTTTCATAATATTCTCTTATAACTGATTGTGTTTCTGTGGTGTTTCTTGTTATTTCTCCTCTCTCATTTGTGATTTTATTTATTTGCATACTCTTTCTTTTCTTTTCTTTCTTTCTTTCTTTCTTTCTTTCTTTCTTTCTTTCTTTTCAGAGAGAGTGCACATGTGGGGAGAAGGAGAAAGGGAGAGGGAGAATCTTAAGCAGACTCCATGCCCAGCACAGAGCCCTACCCAGGGCTTGATCTCACAACCCTGAGATCATGACCTGAGCGGAAATCAGGAGTCTGATGCTCAATCAGTTGAGCCACTCAGGCATCGCTCTCTTTTTTGTCTTGGTAGGTCTGGCTAGAGGTTTATCAATTTTCTTGATTTTTTTTTTTTTTTTTTCCCTGAAGAACCAGCCCTGGTTTCATTGATTTGTTTGTTTGTTTCCTGTATCATTTATTTCTTGTCTAACCTGTATTATTTCTTTCCTTCTGCTGGTTTCAGATTTTGTTTGTTGTTCTTTTCCTAGCTCCTTCAGGTGCAATGTTAGGTTGCATATTTGAGATTTTTCTTGCTTCTTGAGCTAGTCTTGTATTGCTATATACTTCCCTCCTAGAACCACTTTTGCTACATCCCAGAGGTTTTGAATCATTGTGTTTTCATTTTCATTTGTTTCCATGTACTTTTTTATTTCTTTTGTTTTGTGGCTGACTCATTCATTGTGTAGTAGCCATTATTAACCTCTGTGTGTTTGTGCATTTTCCAGATTTTTTTCTTGTGTCTGATTTACTAGTTTCATAGCTTTGTGGTCAGAAAAGATGCATAGTATGACTTTGATCTTTTTGAATTTGTTGAGACTGGTTTTGTGAGCTAATATGTGATCTCTTCTGGAGAATGTTCTTTGTGCACCTGAAAAGAATGTGTATTCTGCTGTTTTAGGATGGAATGTTCTGCATGTATCTCTTAACTCCATCTGGTCCAATGTGTCATTCAAAGCCATTTTTTCTTTGTTGATCTACAGTTTAGATTATCTATTGATGTAAGTGTAGTGTTAAAGTCCCCTACTGTTACCATTTTATTACCTGTCAGTTCCTTATGTTTGTTATTAACTGTTTTATGTATTTGGGTACATAAATACTTACAATGTTATATCTTCTTGTTGGATTGTCCCCTTTATGATTATATAGTATCCTTCTTTGTCTTTTGTTACAGACTTTGTTTTAAAGTCTATTTTGTTCAATACAATTATTGCTGCTCCAACTTTCTTTGGAAATCTATTTCATGATAGAAGTTTCTCTATGCTACAGGTGCCTTTAGGTCTAAAGTGAGTCTCTTGTAAGCCTGTATAGATGAGTCTTATTTTTTGTTTTTGTTTTTATTTTTATTTTTTTTAAGAGACAGAAGGAGAGGGAAAGAGGTGGTGGTGCAGAGGGAAAGAGGTGGTGGTGCAGAGGGAAAGAAAGAATTCCAACCCAGCCTGGAACCTGAATGATGTCATATTTCACACTCTTTTATTTTGTAAGTTCCTTGACATATTTTTACAAAAATATTTATTTTTACTGCTTTTGTGTTTCCTACCATCATACTGTTACTGTAGTCTCTCCTTTTCACTGATAGACTCTCCTTTAATATTTCTTGCTTGCTTGGCTTGGTGGTCATGAATTCCACTAGTCTGGGAAAATTTTTTATCTCCCCTTCTATTCTGAATGATAACCTTGCTGGATAGTGTATTATTGGCTGCAAGTTTTTTCCATTCAGCACTTTGAATAGCCAGTCGCTTCTGCCTTGGAAAGTTTCTGCTGAAAAATCCCCTGATAGTCTTATGGAGTTTCCCTTTTATGTAATTGTGTTCTTTTGTCTTGCTCCTTTTAACGTTTTTTCTTTACTGTATTTTGACATTTTAATTGTAACATGTCTTGGTGTGAATCTGCTTTTCTTGATTTTATTGGGGGGTTCTCTCTGCCTCCTGATTCTGGATATTTGTTTTCCTCCTCAGATTAGGGTAGTTTTCAGCTATTATCTCTTCAGATAAACTTTGTGCCCCCTTTTCTTTGTTGTCTTCTTCTGGGACTCCTATAATGTGACTATTACTCTTTGATAGAGTCACTGAGTTCCCTGAGTCTATTCTAATTTTCCATCATTCTTTTTTCTCTCTTTTGTTCATCTTGATTTCTTTCCAATACTCCGTCTCCTAGATCACTGATCTGTTCCTCTGTTTCTTCCAGCCTGCTATTCATTCTGTCAAGTGTGTTTCTCATTTTGTTTACTGAGCTCTTTATCTTTTTTATGATATTCCTTATCTCTGTGTTAAGGGTCTCACTCATGTCTTTCACTTTTTTCTCAAATCCAGTGAATAGTCTTACAATCATTACTCTAAATTCTCTATCAAGCATATCCATTCTGCTTAAATCTCTGGATATGCATGGCCTTGTCCTGATTTTTCATTTGGGATAAATTTCTCTGTCTTCTCAATTTGTCTAAATTTCTGTGTCCATTTCTGTGTGTTAGGAAAGTCAGTTATGTCTCCTATTCCTGAAGGTAATGGCCTTATGAAGAAGAGGTCCTATACTGCCCTGCTGTGTAGTGTCTTCTGTTCCTCAAGGCATGGCACTTCCAGCAGTGTCTTCGCTGTGTGCTGCATGTGATCAGCTGTTGTGTCCTGGCTGCTTTATCATTCAGG